TCTTTCACATCTAGAAGGTGCAGCACCTAGACTGTCGCAACATCTACAGGAGAAAGGATGGGCTGTGAACAGCACCAAGATTCAGGGACCTGGTTTCTCAGTCAAATTCTTGGGAATCGTCTGGTCGGGTAAGACCAAAGTTATACCAGAAGCAGTTATAGATACAGTCCAGGCCTTTCCTACCCCTACAGGAGTTTTGGGGTCTTGTAGGCTACTGGAGAGTGTTCATCCCACACTTGGCACAAATTCTGAAGCCCTTATACCAGTTGGTATGAAAGGGCATCAGGTGGCACTGGGATGAGATATGTACATCTGCCTTTACTACAGCAAAACAGGCAGTCAAGGCCATGCAGGCCTTGAGTGTGATAGACCCATCAAGGCCCTGTGAGCAGGATGCTCATGTGTCTGAAGACAGTTATGGCTGGGGTCTCTGGCAGTGGCTTGAATGAACTTAGCAACCTACTGGATTCTGGTCACAACTCTGGGAAGGGGCAGAGGTAAGATACACTTTGATAGAAAAACAACTGGCTGCCATGTATCACACCTCACTGGCTACAAAACCCACCACTGGAATGGCCCCAATAAAGGAAATAACCACCTATTCCATCCTGGGGTGGGTACAAGATTGGACCCAAAAGCCAAGGAGTGGTGTGGCACAAACGCCCATACTGGCCAGGTAGGATGCTTACCTACAGCAACATATTACCACCTCTAGTAGCCCTTTGAGTGAAGAACTGCAATGCTTATTGGGGCTAGTGACATTTACTAGTGAAAAGCAGGAAGAACTTGCTTTTGAACCATTAGTAGGAGAGAGTCCCTATCAGGAGGAAAGAGCCCCTATACCCAAAGATGCATGGTACACAGACTCCAGACATGGGCAGCCCCCAAAATGGAGGGCCACAGCTTTCCATCCTAAGACTGAGGCAACATGGATGGAAGATGGTGAGGGGAAGAGCACCAATGGGCAGAGTTGTGGGTCGTGCGGCTTGTGATCAACCAGGAGCCCTCCCCTCTAGCTATCTGCACTGACTGCTGGGCCATCTATCAGAGCTTGAACCTGTGGCTCCCAACCTAGTACCATGTCAACTAGCTGGTTGATCACCAACTCCTTTGGGGGCAAGAATTGTGGCAAGACTTATGGGCCTGTGGTCAGATCAAAATAATTATAGCATACCATGTGACAGGTCATTTGCCACTGGTATCCCCAGGAAATGATGAAGCAGATAAATTGGCCCTGATACGTTGGTTAGAAGGAAAGCCTGCCTCTGATGTAGCCCAATGTTTGCATGTGTTTGTTGCATGTGGGGGAAAAGACAATGTGGGCTGTAGTCCGTCGTTGGGGCTTACCTTTGACCTTTGAAGAAGTTAGCAGAGCCCAGCAGGAGTGTGTTGTATGCTCCAAGAGGGACTTACACCGAGTTCCACAGCACCATGGGACAATAGCTAAGGGCCCAAAACCCCTCATCAGGTGGCAGATAGACTATACTGGGCCTCTATCTTTGTCAGAAGGATATCAGTATGCCATGACTTGTGTGGGCACAGCTGCTGGACTTCTGGTTGCTTTTCCTACATGTTGTGCAGACCAGCAGATGACTAAAAGAGGTGGTAGTGTCTCTGCTGTCTGCAGCCAACCACAGGTAATTGAGAGTGATCAGGGCACCCATTTTACTGGACATGCACTGCACAAATGGGTGTGACAGCTGGGAATCAAATGGAAGTTTCATGTGCCATACAATCCTACGGCAGCAGGCATGACAGAAAGGCACAATGGCTTGTTAAAATCCGACTGAAGTCAGATACCAATAGTCTGAGGGAATGGTCAGTCTGCCAATGGACCGTGCTACGGCGTTTGAATCAGAGACCCCGAAAAGGAGCCCTGAGCCCCACAGACATGTTAACACTGTCTCCCCTATATATTGCTGCCTCCCCTATACAACTGCAAGTACAAACCAAGGAAGAATCACTGAAGCTGAGGTTTGGCCACCAGAATAATATCTTGCTGCCTACACCAACTGCACTGAACTCCTGAGACTCCATTGAGTGGACGTGGCCTTGGACCTTTCGACAAATGGACCAATGATGGCTGACTCTCCTGGCATCTTGAGGACAAAGGCCTGGAAGCTGGCCTCCTGTATATTCCTGGAGTAACAGCAGAGTGCCCCCAAAAGTCACAGTAGTATATCCTGAACGGCCAGAAGGTAGGAGCATCTTACAAGGGAGTTTTGTTTTCTCATTATGGCCAGTGCATGCACCTCCAGTAGCACTATATATAGACTATTCAGTAACCCCCATGGGGAAAGGAGTAAAAGCATGGTATACTAGACCTGGAAGGGACCTCCTTCCTGCTACAGTCCTATCACAGGTCCACTCTCTTCCATGCATCCTACCTGATGGACAAGATTTGCCTATGTTGGTGTCATTAAAACGTGTCTTATCGCCCCTAAGGTCTTTTTGTGGGTTGGGAACTTCCTCTGGCTTGAGGATTATTATAATTTTTGTTACCTGTATCAAAATCTTGTTGCATCTTAATTTTTATTATTATCTCTAAGTTGTTGTCATCCTCTGTTGCTGCTATGGAATCTGGTTACAGTGCTCCAGCTTTCTCACAGGGACCACTGCAGAAAATTGAGAGCGTGTAGATTATTAGGCGAGAATCCTGGAGGGGTAGAGTGTGGGGAAGTTGGGGTTCCTATGGCCAGGATCCTCACTGAACTTAAACCACCTGATGATGTAACTGGCCTGATGCTAGGCTACTGCTTCCACACCTTTAGGCCATAAGCTATTATTGCACTATATAGAGAGCTCAGCCCAGTGCTCTGGGAGGAGGGAGAGATGCTACTGCTCCACCTACCGCCAGGAGAACAAGCCAGGTAATAAACCCTTTCACCCCAAGGAAACGTTCTACTGTCATTTCTTTGGTCACACTGAAACCAGACATAGGATATCCTAAAGAAATAGTTCCACTGTGCTCCAAGTTGTAGAAACAAAGATATTCAGGGCAGAATTGACTTAAAAGTTTAAATATGTTCATCAACATGCAATGGCATATAACAGCTGTTTTTGAAATACTAAAAAAAGTTTCTCTAACAAACAAAATTTGTAAGGAAGAAATGAAATCAGACTAAAATGAATATAGTTTTGTCCCACAATGAGGTGATACATCTGTAGCTACTTATTCACAGACATACAAAAAAAGGACTAGAAGGTCATGCAAACTGCTAAGTGAAGTTCTCTCTAGAGAGGGTCAGGTGGTGGTACTTTTAATCTTCTATAGTAAGTATAAATGACCTTAAGAGTTTTTAAAAATTGCTTTAAAAAAAGTTTTCCAATATTCACTCTTTCTCCACACCCACTCCACCCCACTCCTCAGTTGCATTCTTCATGCTGCACCGCTGGATTTTGAGCAACCATAAACCTGATCCTTTTAAAAGTATCTTTAAAGGACTTGCTCCCTGACCTAGAGCTAGATCTTCCTACCTGACCCTTAGGGCAACCCACACCCAGAGCTCACTCTGCTCTAGTACTTCTGCTGAGCCCAAGAATCCTTTCAACTGAAGATCTTTTTTAAAAGTGTTAGCTGTTCCATCTTTCTGGAATGCCCTTTTTCCACTTCACTTCTCCTCCACTCTCTCCCACTTCCTCAGAAAGTCATTCCCCAACTCCTACATCTAAATTAGGTGCTCCTTTTAGTACTTTTAGCTTTTTCTTTATAACACTCAGGGAAACTAATTAAATGCCAAATTGTTTAATTACTTTTTTATCGGGTACGTCCCCCACTAAGACTCATGGACAGGAACCTAGTCTGACTCACTCACCACTTTGGTTATAACCTAGCTAGCATGGCAATCTGCATACTAGGCGCTCAATAACTTGACACTAAAATAATACATGGTTTTTTTTTTAAATACTAATTTTTCAACTGACTTCTAATTATTCGGCAACTTTCTTTGCAATCATAAAAATGCAAATTGAAGTAATCCATTTATTATTTAAATTAACTGGTTTAATACATATCTACAACTCAAAAGTTTGTCATGAACTGCGTATACTCTCATGTATGACTAGTGGCCACAATCACTGGTAAGCAACTGTTTTCTGATAAAGGGATATGCCAATATATAGCACGGTCTGTAAATATATTAATATCTTGTCCCAATAATCCCAACACAGAAAGTCTCAATTCAACACAAGTTATACTACCATTTTCTGACGAAGTTCACCTATAAAAAGAGGAAAACCCTGAAAACTAGCTTGTATGTATGAATAATCCACCATACCCTGAAAACTAGCTTGTATGTATGAATAATCCACCATGTTAGGTAAGATTCAGCAACGTGTTAGTTATGTTAGGAATTGAGTTACAGGTTTTTAGCAATTGTTAAAAAAACACTTTTGATATTAATTTTTAAATGTTGTCAAATGGTTTAAAAGACTTGGGTCCTCATGCTCTTAAGTAAAATCCATGAGATTTAGTAACCATAAGGACAGTGACGTTTACAATCAATGTTCACACGCCGAAGAGCCCATTGCTAACAAGCCCGGCGCCGCTGGTTGGGCCGGGGAGTTTAGACCCGTCATTGCTGGGAACAACCTGCCTCTCACAATTTCCAAGTACTGAAGGTTTAGTCAAACGCAAATTAGCCCCACAAGTCCACTCGGGTTTTTGTTACAAGACCAGGAGCCTCTCTCTCAAGGCGTCTCTCTCCCCAGGACCTGCCGCGTCCACCTCGCCAGCGGGACGGCGAATCCGCCCCTGGGCGCGGGCCCCACCCCGCCGCCCGCGCTCGTCGGGGGCCACCGCACGCCGTCCCGGCCTCGCCACCAGAAACGCCCCGCCCCTCTCGCGGGTGGGCGCTCTGCCGGTCAGACGCAGAAGTTCCGGGCGGCCGGCGAATTCCGGGACGAGGCCGCCGCACGGGCCGCAAGCGCAGAGCCCTGGCGCGAGCGAAGCGGTGACCAGGTGCTGGCTGTGCGGCCGGGCCGCTGGGCCTCGCGCTTACCTAGACCGGGGACGGCAATGCAGGGACGAAGGGGGCGCGGGGCGCCGACGACGCGAGGGGAGAGGTCTGGAGCGAGGCCGCAGAGAGGACGACTCTCGGGAAGATGCGAGAAATGGCGCCCGGAGCCCCGCAGCCGCCGCGCACTAAGCCCTCTAAGGACCCCAGCGGCCCGCCGACCCGCCCCTTAAAGCTCTTCCACGCTCCGCCCCCGGGGCGGGGCTTTCCACTCTTAAATGGGCAATGACACCGCCCCGGAAATCGCTGCGCTGGGCGAGACTTGGTGTTAAACCAGCGATGGCAGGAGGGCCCGACCTGCAACCGGCGCCAGCGCCCCGGCGTCCGCGGCTGGTTTAAAGGGGCGCTGCCGAAGCCAGCCCGAGCTATCAGATCTGTGCCCTCGGAGGGGGTGCGGTTGGCCGCGAACCCCAAACCTAGTCCGCTGTCAGGCGTGGCTTAAGTGCCGTCGGAGCCCATAATAAGGTACTGCTAGATCCATTCATCCTTTTGTTAAGAAATTCATTCATTCAGCAACTATTTACTGCCATGCTGTTAAAGCAACTTTAATCCTACTGGGGAGAAAAACGGTAACAAATACCTGTCAAACGGTATTATTAAAAAAAATAATGCCTTATATTGAGCTTTATATTTAACATGTAAGTACTTTTATTATAAATATAAATATATTTAACATAGAGTTGTCAGGGAGATCCTCTGTAACAAGGGGTTATTCCATCCGTTCTTTCTACAGGTAAGAGAATTGCCTACCATGGGCCAGGCTGTGTCCTGTACACTGAAGATACAATGGTACACAAGACAGACAAAAATCCTCATGTAGTTTAAGTGCTAGCTGCAGAGACAGAAAATGAAAGATAAATTAGTAAAATTAAATTCTACATTAGGCATTGCTCCATGATAAAGAGAAAAAATAAAAGCAAGGGATAGGAAATGAGAGGGTGGTAATTTTAGGTGGACTGGCTGGGTGAGCAGGACGGCCTCAGTAAGGTGGCCCTTAAGCAAGAACCTAAAGGAGGTGAAGGAGTGGCCATGTGGACACTGTGGGGAAGGTCCTGAGACCTTTGTGCTTGGCCTGCTCAAGGAAAGCCAGGATAGCTGCATGTGAGGGAGCCAAAGGGACCAGTCACAGCTGCTGACAGGTCAGTGAGGAGAGGCCTGTTCAACGAAGGGCCTTGGGAGCCCTTGTCAGGGCTCCCAGGGCTGAAAGGAGAAGAGGCAAATACTAACTGAACCCTTCTGGAGACCCGCCACTGCCCCTTCCTCCACCATCCTAAGACACACTGGGGCTTGGCAAGGACAGCTGATCTCTGCTCCTGGTGGTGTTGGCTGGGGCAGCTAACAGAAATGGAGCTGCCAAAAAGGGCTTCACTCATCTCTGTGGTATCTCAGCTGGAATGGTTGCAATGAACAGCTGAGTCCCAGGCCTTTCTCTCTAGTGGGTTGGTGAGGGCGGCTCAGGCCTCTGAAGCTGCAAGACCTGAAGCTGTAAGGGAAATGCCCAGAAGTCACATTGTCACTTCTGTTGCCTGGTATTGGTCAAAGCAAGCCACGAGGCCAGACCTGTTTTAAGAGGGATAGGATCAAGGTTCCACCTCTTTTTTCTTTTAATACTATTAGAGAATTTTTTCTCTATTTAAAAAATAGTGTTATTGACATATGTTACATATGAAACAATTCACCCATTTAAAGTATACATTTCAGTGACTTGTAGTAGATTAACAAAGTTGTACAACCATCACTACAGTCTAGTTGTAGAAGATTGTCATCACCTCTCATGGGAGGGGAAGCATGGGCATACAGGGTGGGAGGAATTGTTGGGGTCATCTTTGCATCTTTATCTCAATGGAAAAGTGATGATGATGATGATATGGGAGGGAAGCAGCAGATGCACAGATGAAACAAGAAAGGGCTATGGGTTGAAGCTAGGTAGATAAGTACATTAAAATGTCTCTATTTTATGTACAACTTTACATTTTTGCCATAATATATTTCTAAAAAATACTGTCTGGGCCATGGTCCCCTTTGGGAAGCCTCCATGTCACCCCTGGTAATCATGTCTGATTAGACTACTTTGAAAACTCTACAAACTTGAGTGCCATTCTCTCTGTCTGCCAGGGCTGTCTTCTTCAAGTATGACCTAGCATTTAAACACTTGAAAGCTGTATTTTAACTTATCTGTCTACTGATCAATAATGGAAGCATTTCTGTCAATACTTATAAATCTACCTCCCTGTTCTGAATTGTTGCACAGCATGGCAGTTTGGAGACATTGTTCTTTTCTCCCCTTCTGCTCAATCCTTTTTTCTAACTCCTGTCAAGTGGGAGGGGGGTGGTTTGAGGGAGGCTGTGAACAAGGTGTGAGAAACTTCTTGAGAAAGATGGCTATAGGCCGAAGGAAGTCTGAAGGCTTGGGGAAGTAGAGGGAAACCTGAGGACCAGCTCACAGAAAGCTGTTCATCTCTACTCACATAAGACTACTGCTCGAAAAAAATTTTTGCCTCCCCAGAGCCTCTCTCTGAGACATAAACACCCTCTACAATATCCCTATCCTGTGGTAAATTAGCCCCCTATCTAACTCCCACGAGAGACAGAAGTCTCTGGCCTTGACACAGCCAAATTAAGTAAACATGTATTTGGCTGCAAGTAATAGGAGACTGATTTGTACTGTTCAGCAACTCAACAATGCTATAAAGCCCAACAATGCTAAAAAGACCCTAAACTGTTTTCCTCTTTCTGTTCTGCCATCCTTGGCATGTTGAGTCTGGTTTTTATGCTTCTAGCCTACTGGCCACAGGAGAGCTACAGTGTCTACAGCTCTCTTATCAGAGTTTCAGAAATGAAAGGAAGGAGGAAAAAATTTGCTCTTCCTGAACCCTTGTCTTTTAATTCAGGAATGGAATTCCTACCACCCCATCTCATTGGTTGGAACTAGATTTCCTGTCCATACTTAGACTAATTATTAGCCATACAGAAAGAGAATACTATGACTGGTTTAGACCAATCATAATTCATTCTTCGGGTTAGGGAAAGGGCCTTCTTTCTCTGAGAACAAGGGCTCTCCATTAACTTCTTTTTTTTCCCCATTAACTTCTTGAATAAACCCAAGTTGTATTAGCAGGAAAGAGGGGATGTTGCTATAGGAAGAATGACTGTGAGTAGGCTATAGATGGTGTCTACTACAATGAACTACTTTTTGGTGGTATAGTACTGGCTCATGGAAAGATTTTCCTTTATTGAACTAATATCCTCACCCTGGATTTCCACTCCTATCCTAGGTCCTTGTTTGTTGTCTGGAGCCACACACAAAGGAGTAGACCCAGATTTAGTGGGTACTAAAAATCATATGCAGGGTAGGAAGGGAGCAGTTCTTCAAGTTAAATAACAAAGTTAAGGATTCAAAGTCAGGTACAGGATTTTGGAAAGGGTCCATGCAAGTAAGGAGACCTAAAGCTTAAACCTAATACCTACATAGTAAATCCACCTCTCCCCACAAGAAGAAACATAATCCCTCTTTCACATCACAACCCCTTAAACAATTGAGAACCATTGTCCCAAGCCTGCAGAATCTTCTCTTGTCCTGATTTCAAGCTTTTCACTTTCTTGGCCAGCTTCTGTGGATTGGGGCACGCTGGTGGGGCCAGTTGTGCCAAGGTATTCTGAGCAGAATTGAACACAGAACATTCCAGTATGAGATTCAGTCTTTCTGGAAACTGAAGCAGGCCTGCCTTCCAAAAGCCTCCATGAAAAATATTGAGAAGAAAGTACACTCAGGAGAGTGGCATCATGAAGAATTTATTTATGAGACACTGCATCTAAGAGAACACTACCTATTCAAAAAATGCACATAAATAAAATATAATACAAAAGCAGTCTTAAGGAGACTATAGACTATCTACGGTTAAAAGAACATATGAGATGTGAACAGATCCCAGAAATGGGCTGCTTTTTCTCTCAGACTGTTCAAGTACAGTTGGACAATATCCATCATATCATAGACAAATTTTCACAAATGCCTAGGGTGCCTAAATGGTTTTCTTGGCTTCACTGGAGATGGATGGTAATTATAGATTTGCTTTGTTTATGTCACCGTATTCCTATTATGTTAATATGTGTGTGCAAATTAGTTAGTAGTTTAAAACCTATACATACTTAAGGTACTCTACAAGAAGATATGTCAAAGAAATAATCAATCCTCCCATGTTTCCTTCCATATGCTACATCTGTAGCTTTTCTTCTTTCTTCCTAATTACAACCCTTAAATAGAATTCGTGCCTCATATCGAATTTACCGAGTATCATAATTCCTCCAGGTGGTAAAGATACCTCGAGACAAGTGCTGGGCATAGAAGCCACAGGGCATAAATCTGCAAAGAAGTAAAAAGCTAACCTTTGCAAACAATATGGCTTCTCTCTCACTTACCAACTTTACATTTCCCTGTATGGCCCCGGAAGATGACTGGTTAGCCAGAGACGGGTAAGATTCCTCAAGGGAGGAACAACCTAAGACAGGCACAGTCGCAGGGGGGCCATCAGGTGAGAATTTGGGGATCAACAGAGGTGAGGCTCAGAACCTCACCCCCCCTGCTTTGAGAGAAATCTTCTGCATCCGTGGATGTCTTGCTGCCCTTGTCTAGCCTGGATTAATACTTAGTCCATAGGCACACACCTGATCATCTGATCATCTACATTTGCCTTCTTACAGCACTAAACTATGTTTTCTACCTTTATCTTGCATCTACCTACCACTTCAGCATTTTATTAAAAATAAAAATAATAATAATAATAGGAGAAATGTGGGATCAACATATAAATCAAGTACAAAAATCAAATGAATATTCATATTTGACCTGATGGTTTATAGGTCATATTGCATGATCAAAACCGAAAGTTTCTGTGATGAATGCCCTTGTACTGTTCACCATGTAAGAATTTATTCACTCTGTAAGAATTCGTTCACCATGTAAGAACTTGCTCGTTATCCTTCAGAAGATTGGAGACTGACGAGAATTAGGCTTGAGATGGATTAATGATTGTACATTGAGCATTGACCCCCCTATACTGAATTTTATTGTTGTTAACAACCATTTGATCAATAAATATGAGAGATGCCCTCTC